TATACTAAGCAAAAAGAAAATAGAAAAATGTTTACACTACTGTAAAACTATCCGAACAATGAAGATAAACGAAATGTATCGCTCTATTCGGTTTTTTTTACAAGTCTACTTCCTAATATTCTTTTTAAAATTTCGCAGGAGCCTTATGTTAGTCTAAAACTTAGAGCTGCTTCAAATTAAACAGCTCCGAAGAACAATTGTTGCACATGCATTAGAATCGTATGGAAGCAGTTCATCAAGTCTATTTTTGTAAATGCTAACTGCTAACAACCGCTCTGTAATGTTCTACTATTTGCCCAATTTTTGCTTCTCTACTTCGTTCGCTTTACCGTTTGCTCGGGTTTTTATTTCAAGTGCTTAACCTCCTTCGCAGAATGCACTGTTTCAGGTAATGGACGTGTCTGCCCCAGTGAGGCCGCCCTCGTGAGTTCTTGAAACCAGTTTATAAAGCTTCATAGTATAGGTGTAATTGAAGAAACTCTTAAGAGGTTTGGGGTAGATGAGATTAAATTTCTTATTTTTGCTAGTTTAAACTAGAAAGCCGCAATAATTCATGAATACAGCGACTCGCTCAAAATTCCTTAAATTTTTAGCCACTCGCGCCCTACGCAAGCCTATTACGTGCCGCGTCGTCTTTTGGAGGGCGGTCGCGGTCCACATCCGGCAAATGATGGAAAGCCATCGGATGCTTTCGTCGCTGCCGATGCGCCGCCAAATATGACGAAGCAACGATCTAACACTGAGGTTAGCCATATATTTAGAATTATTTTAAGGAAAATAAAGGTCAAAATTCTTTGGACAAATAAGAACCGATTGCTGTTTGCAAGATCGAAATTTGACGATAAGATTTTCTTAAATCGATGTGTACATAAACGAGTGCAGATTGACTCTGCTGCTGGCGGTGGTGGTGGTGGAAGTTTTTTTCCCCGCGAAAAGTCGTCTGCACGCGAACGTTGCATTCCGTGAAGTGCACACTCCGCCCACTTTCAAGCATGCATTGGGCCTTAGACAAATGATCGTTCTAACTGATGCATCGTTCATCGCACTCCACAGCAGGAACTCCTCCACT